TCAAGCTTGAATCAGATGGCGCCAGGGCACGTCGCGGCTGTCATGGCCGTCGCACTTACACACCGTCAAATTTACAGTTGTGTATTGTGTCCGTGAGCCTATCTGTGTGATGAGCAAAGCAGAAGACATAACCTTTGTAAATGATTGCTGTTGTTTGCAGACAATTTTTGTTTGCATTTACGTTTAAAGATAGTAGGAAAAATGAAGTGCAGTGTAATATCCTGCGATAAGAAAGTGAAATTTAAATTTCCTTCTGATAGTGTGATAAAAAAAAAGTGGCTCGAAGCAATTGGGAGACCAACATTTTTGCCGCTCCCAAGTCATGGCTTATGCCTCGACCACTTTGCCTCCACGAGTTCTGCTTTTCTTCCACTGACTCTTGCTCCTTTCCCTTTTAAAAGCTTTTTCAATTCTGAAACTTTTAAGCTCCCATAATATTCTTTCTTGTCTTCCTTATTCATTTCAAAATTTCAAATATTGCGCTTTACCACTACACTTTCATTTCCTATATACATACAATACTGAAAAGTAATGTTGTGTGAGTGAGACGGCCATGACAGCCGTGACGTGACCTGGCGCCATCTGATTCAAGCTTGACTGTAAAAGAGCCTCATACGTATACGCCGAGTAAATTTTATGCTGTCTGCTGCCATAAGACAGATATACATGTACACCACTACAATTTTCAGTATTTGTGTGCCTGTGGATGACATTTGTATAGGTATTGGCATGCTATGTAACAGCAGCAAATCTGCTGCTGCTGTTTAGATGGAAGCCAAAAACAACAAAAAAAAAAAAAAACATTTATTATTTCATCAATTTACATGAGCATGGGTTCTAAACCATTTCACCCTCTATGGCCAAGTAATCAATAAAAAAACTGAACTTGGCAACAGCACTGATCCTCGGCAGTTAAGTATCACATTGTTCGTTGGCTTCCACAGGCATATATTTCAGTGTACGACAGAATGTTAGCAAAAAGTACAATAAAAACTTATAGACTGATGACAAAGGTGCAAAGGAACTTTTTCAAGATGAAGAAGAAACACGTATGAAATACAACTTTCTTTCAACACGAACTGCACGATACGAAAAGTATTGCAGAATGCTGCGGCCCCAAGATGGATGTCGCAATAAAAAGGACAACCTTGCGCAGACGCAGCCACGGACCCCTTCCACTACTTCCACATATTTAAAAGTGATATTTCACTTATTTGAATAAGCCATACATGTTCCACTTATCTATAAGAGAAATTTTACTTACTGTTGAGATATCATAAATTTCACATAAATATAAGTGAATTTTAACTTATTTATAAGTCAAATCTACTTTTTTATGAGTGAAAACAAATTGACTTATTTAATAAGTGACTTTTTCACTTATTCAGATTTAGAGAGCAGGTTTAGAAACTGCGTGACTAAATTAGTTTTCTACTTTGCATATCCAAACAAAAAGTGGAAATCCGAGGATCCAGCAGTTGATAATATTATCTCACCAATGAAAAAAAAACAGGAGCACCAAGATTTGACGGAGACGAAGCGCAGGAGGAGTAAGGAGGACCAAGGTACGTATTGTAATTTTCATTTCATCGTGCTACAAGTAATGACAATGACAAAACGCTGTGCTTACAATCAATATCAATTTTTTTTGTAGAAGTTGAAATTATTTGTATCGACGAAAAGTATTCCAAGCCTGTGAAAATTAAACAAGAAATCCAAGTAAAAAAGGAACCTATTGATTGGATCAACAGTACGGCAGACTACGGAGGGGGCAAACCAGGTGCCATTTTAATTATTTTTTTAATTGCGTGATATGTATATTTTTAAAGTAAATGGTTCACACAATTTACTTTTTTTTTTCATGAAATTACAGGTGCTCATGGAGTCCACGGGCCTGCAGGTGCTCCAGTCAATGCATTCCCTTCATGTTGCTCTTGCAACGCAGCGTATCCCTCAGCTTCCACCTACTACCAACACCCATTTCCGTTGCACTACAACCAAAATCCGTACAGTCACCCATTTCCGTACCAGTATCAACCCCCCCCTCCACAACAACAATATCCATTTACTTCTACGCAACATCAGGTTCTACAAAATTCTTCAACTGCTCCTCCCAGCTATTCAGTTGGACAGGGTACTTCCAACCACAATCAAAGCACCAACTATTATATACCACCTTCATCAACTGCAAATGACACTACTCAGACTTCTTCGATTCCAAGTACTTCGTCTGCCGGCCAACTGCCCGGACAAACTGATTCTAATTCTAATAATAGTTTCCCACCTACCAAAAACCAATGCACTCCTATTCAACAGTTTCCATTGACTGGAAATGAAAATTATGCTAGTTCAACTCTACAATCTGTGGGACAAAATGTAGCTGATGCTTATCAGAACCAATCTACAGTACATCAAGTGAAAGTTTCCGACACTAATCTTTAATTTTCTACTTATATAATTAATAATCAGCATCACCAGTAAGCGGTAAAAAAAAAAAATATGTATATATATAGCCGCACTGACTTTATAATAAATACAAGTGAACTTATCTGCATGCTTATTCTTACATGTTCTGTTTCTTTGTGAATTATTTGTTATCAACAATTAAAATTCTTATCAAATATAATAAATTTACTTATGACGAAAATACTGTTTTGCACATGTAAACATTTTCTTCTATTTATCCATGCACGCCGAAAATGAATATTATTTTTCATGCTATCGTTGAACCACGGAAATATATACCTTACATTAACTACATGAAAATACAATCAGCTGAGGATTTTTTAAAGCAGCTAGAAACAGTAGGTTAATCATGTAAATGTATAATTTTTTTTTTTTTTTAATGGAAACAAAGAGTTACATTACGCCTTCCAACGTGCAATACCGGGCCACCTGGACGATCAACCCCGAAAATACGGTGTCGGGCTTTTCGGCCCTCCGACAAGTTTGGCGGTGACTTCCGACAGCAAGACAGCAAGACAGAGACAGCAAGCAAGCATCTGACATCGCTGCAGACGACGTACAATATACATATGAGGCTCTTTTACACGAATCAGATGGCACCAGGGCACGTCGCGGCTGTCATGGCCGTCGCACTTACACACCGTCAAATTTACAGTTGTGTGTTGTGTCCGTGAGCCTATCTGTGTGATGAGCAAAGCAGAAGACATAACCTTTGTAAATGATTGCTGTTGTTTGCAGACAATTTTTGTTTGCATTTACGTTTAAAGATAGTAGGAAAAATGAAGTGCAGTGTAATATCCTGCGATAAGAAAGTGAAATTTAAATTTCCTTCTGATAGTGTGATAAAAAAAAAGTGGCTCAAAGCAATTGGGAGACCAACATTTTTGCCACTCCCAAGTCATGGCTTACCTGTCCACGAGTTCTGCTTTTCTTTCACTGACTCTTGCTCCTTTCCCTTTTAAAAGCTTTTTCAATTCTGAAACTTTTAAGCTCCCATAATATTCTTTCTTGTCTTCCTTATTCATTTCAAAATTTCAAATATTGCGCTTTACCACTACACTTTCATTTCCTATATACATACAATACTGAAAAGTAATGTTGTGTGAGTGAGACGGCCATGACAGCCGTGACGTGACCTGGCGCCATCTGATTCAAGCTTGACTGTAAAAGAGCCTCATACGTATACGCCGAGTAAATTTTATGCTGTCTGCTGCCATAAGACAGATATACATGTACACCACTACAATTTTCAGTATTTGTGTGCCTGTGGATGACATTTGTATAGGTATTGGCATGCTATGTAACAGCAGCAAATCTGCTGCTGCTGTTTAGATGGAAGCCAAAAACAACAAAAAAAAAAAAAAACATTTATTATTTCATCAATTTACATGAGCATGGGTTCTAAACCATTTCACCCTCTATGGCCAAGTAATCAATAAAAAAAAAATTTTTTTTAAGATAAATAAATTATTGGAAATTTATAAAAATATCGTGTCAAGTTCTCTCGTACTATTTTTCCTGGCACAGATTCCACATTGCTTTCATCGTTATTCATTGACACCAATCCTTCACTATCTTCCGAATTATTAATCCTACTATTCTGATTGACTTTTTCAACATCAATTATCATGTTATGTAACACACAAGTACTTTTCACAATCCAATCGACAACTGTTGGTGTTTTCTCTATTTTAGTGTAATATATGCGCCAAAGTTGTGACGTTCGAGCAAAGCCATTTTCGGCTACAACTCGAGCTCTTGATAATCTTGCGTTGAAATTTGTTTTTTCTGATGACACATTTTTGTCCGGATATGGTTTCATAACGTATTCCAGTAATGGGTACGCGCCATCGCGAACAAAAAAATAAGGTACTGACATGTTAGAACCTGGTAGTTTACTTGAACGAGGAATTTTCAAAATATTCGATGTTAGGGCTTTGTAAAAATTTGAGCTTCTGAAAGTACCACCATCACTCTGGTGCCCGTAATTGCCCACATCAATAAATAAATACTTGTAATCTGCATCGAACACTGCCTGGAGTACAATGGAAAAAATTTTTTTATAATTGTAGTATAATAATCCAGAATGGGCTGGCCTTTTTATCCTTACATGACGTCCATCTATTGCGCCTAAGCAATTAGGCATATCCCACTTATCGTAGAACCTTTTGGCAATTCGTACAAAATCCTGTTCTGTCGGTACTGGCATGTGTAAGGGTTGCAGCTTTGACCATATCACCTTCATGCACTCAATGACTATCGATGACACTGTAGAAATACCCGTTCTAAATGTAAACGACAACTCGCTATACGTAGATCCTGTTGCTAACATTCTACAAAAATCAAATTAATTACAAACAAATAATCGAATGTTGTAATGCTCATTCGTAAATATTCTCTGAATTTATCTGGATACTTTCTTAAAAGTGGGAAGAGATGGACATATTCACTAAAACACTTTCTGCCCTGGTTAATTTCGTGAATTTGAAATCAACGGATACTACGTATCACTTCTGGAAGTGAATCATTGACATACGTAAACATGTTTTTAACATGAGTCTTGCTCAACGCAGCCACGTTAGCCTCTATACTGTGTATAACTCGTTCTTCGAAAAAACTAAAAAAAATATATATTTAATTAATAACTAAATGACTTACATATTTTGCTCAGTATGACACAACCATGATGTAATTATACAGATGATGCACATTGCTTTACATACCTCTAAATTAAGAGACCTTGGACCAAGTGATAGTTATTGCTGCTTTGTATTTGGCTTTGTGGTTGGTCTCCGTCACTTGGCTGCAGTCACATGGAGCGCAATATATCGTGTAAGATATAATTGTCCCTATTACAGTACAAAGATGTAAGATATAAAAGCTATTTCTTTGTACTGAAAAAAAGTAATTATAAGTGGCGATGTTTTTGGCGATTTTTTTTAAACACAGTGGCAGAATTGACAAATTTTAAACCTTCAGATGGCGAGAGAGGCTCAAGGTGACTTTAGATAAAGTCTGAAAGTTTGCAGACTGGCATTGAAGCTCATAAGAGTGAGAGAGAGGGTATATGTGGTCACGTGATGAATCTCTCTCTCACTCTTATGAGCTTCAGTTATCTTATTCAGTAGCGTTCATGTTAAGTATACCCGGCTCGCCCGTCAAGAACGCCAAGAGCAGTGTTGCCAGATGGGCGTAAGGGTGAGTTTAGATGGAGTCCGGGAGACTGGTTGGAAGCTCATAAGAGTGAGAGGGAGGGTATATGTGGTCACGTGATGAACCTCTCTCTCATTCTTATGAGCTTCCAGCCAGTCTCGCGGACTCCATCTAAACTCACCCTTACGCCCATCTGGCAACACTGCTCTTGGCGTTTTTGCAATCTATTACATTGATGGATGTGCACTGCGCATGGTTCAAAATTTTTCGAAGTCTTTTCCCTACATCTCTGCAGTGGTGCTCCTAACTATGTTTTATACATTATGGTACTTACTTAAACGTTTGAAACTCCGAGAGATTGCAATATATAGGCTTCTGAGTTATGATCCCAATACGAAAATGAGATTGAGAGATACAGGGTTAGGTTTCTCAGAATCACTCTCTATTTTGGATAATATCTTTAAAATCATTATACCTTGAAGTACACCTGATAAAACTAATAAACAAAACATTTTGTTGTTGAATATTGTTTTGTTTAACAAGACATTGTTTTTCACTGCGGTCGCATTTCTGTCCCATAACAGTTTTAGTAAAATAACAAAAAAGTGCAAGCGAACGCCAGCGTTATACGAGCAGAGGCGATCGTTCGCTAGCGCACGCAAGCTGTGCTAGCTCCCGCGAGGGGACGCCCGGATTGAGCGCGCGCTCGCTGCACCCACGTGCGGCGCGGACGGCTGTAGCGCGGCCCCTTTTGTATGTGTTCCGAGATAAGAGTGTTATTAATAAATAAGAGTGAAGTTATATTTGACGTTTACGCCTTCTTCTTCGTCCCTTAGAAAAAGACGAATTTCCTCCCCCATTCCCCTCCCCCCTTTGTTGCTGCGTGAAAGCCCCCCCTTTTGATTAGAATTCCAGGGACAAGAGGACGAGTGAGGAGAGCAGAGAAAGAGAGAGAGAAGAGCAAGAAAGTGAAGTAAGAGAACTCGTAGTAACCAGCTTCCCTGCACCATTGACCCGGACCCCTTTCCCCCTTTGTATTTTACAGGTCCCGGGAGCTGCAATGTTACAGCCGATGGTAGCAAATAAGGGCCCCTTTTCAACAAAAGCTTATAGTACATTTTCAAAAACCTTACAGTTTTTGTATGTTTTTCTAACATTCTTTTTTAAGAACGTACGTAGAAAATTATACAACTAAGTGTAGCGTATAAAAAATTTACGATACTCTCTGAAGATACCTCAAATGTTTGAGCAATCAGATAACTTTGATTAGTTAGGAAAGGTTTTTTGTAAATTTTTTATTGGCCCGTATTAAAACAGAGCTAAAATTATAACTAAAGGGATCCGTGGTTAATGGAAAACCTAACTTCTCCATTTACTTTTAAATCCAAATTAAGTTTAATTCAATACAATCTTATTAGTAGCTATGTAGACTTTTTTCAAATTTGTAATATGATTCGAAAAATCTTTTGTAATGCTGTAAAAAAAAACCTTACTAAAAGTTAGTAATTTAGAAGATATACTGTTTGATTAAATATTTTAATCAAGTGCATTCATTCGTTCGAAAATAATTATTACATCATGTCGTAGTTGCTCATATTTAAGTTGTTATTAACAAAGAATTGTCATTTGATTTACAGCTTATCTTGATTAGATTGGCTAACTTCTGGTGTGTACAAAAAATGGTTTTTTTTAATTCTTACAAACAATAAGAGTATTTAAAAAATAATGTAAAAACATTTGAGAGATCATGAATTTTATAAATTTGTCTCAATAATGTTTATCTTAAATGTTATTTATTTTGGATTATACGTTTTTACATTTAATAAATAGTTACAATTTTACTACTGTATCATTAGGGCTTTAGAAGAGTCAAGAGTTATATTCATATCGTCTTGTTTTATTTCTAATTTTAAGACAATATGCAGATATTGTTTTTGAGACAACAATAAAATAATACTTTTAAGAATATTGAATTAACAATAATTTTTTGTATTCCTAACGTTTGTACTTAAAACGTATTCATATAAAATATCATTTTACTGGCTAACTGAACAAATACTGTTATATAATAATGTTGCAGTGATCAATTACCTGTAAATTTTCATAAAATGGTAATGTTCATAGAGAAGAACACAATTTTCTGACATAATCTAAATGTGACCAGTATAATTGTCATCTTTTAAAATACTTTCAGCTATGAACCTACAGAAAACAAAGCTTTAACAGAAGTGATTTAAAAAAAATGTTTTTGTGCCATAGTTAGAGCTGCTTAAGATGATAAATGACCTAAAATTACTGACAAATCTAGTGTGATTATCTTACTACGAATCATTCATAAAACAATAGGATGTACTCGATGATTTTTTCACAAATCCGTCGCTACTAACAAATAAACTTTTCCTGAATTTGAAATATGTTATACATTATATTTTTTTTGTCATCACGAATTTTTTAAGTTAACGTATCGATACTATTTTTTAAGATATTTGAGTTTAAAATACATTATTTACCATGGGTTGTAGTAAGATACAGCTGTAAAAGCTTTAAATCCATACGTATTCAATCAAACTATTTGTATAAAAAATACTGTACGAATATTTAAAATTTGTACTTTATTTTAGTCCTTTTAAATTAAGGTATGTCAGCACAAAAGAAGACTCAGTTTATTGATTAATATTTTTCCATTACAAAAGTATACTGTCATCAACTATAATACTATTATCATACGGTAAATGACACACTTCTTTTACTTGATTAACTCGGTGCACGGATTTCCTACCTTACTATCTTTAACGCATATTGAATCAAAATTTAGAAGTTTATCATAGACTTAATTTTTTTAATTAAAATATTCGTAATTATTTGAGCTATGCAATACATATTTAAAACTACTCTTATAACTTTTTAGTTCTTGGTTTTTTTTTTTTTTTAACTTTGATCCATATTTGTCAAAATGAGTAGTATGTTTTGGTTCATGTTTTTTCTTATGATTAAATTATTTTAATGTTTTATAATTACATTTTTTTAGACTGGATATGTTTATTCCAAGTTATATATATTTAATTAATAACTAAATGACTTACATATTTTGCTCAGTATGACACAACCATGATGTAATTATACAGATGATGCACATTGCTTTACATACCTCTAAATTAAGAGACCTTGGACCAAGTGATAGTTATTGCTGCTTTGTATTTGGCTTTGTGGTTGGTCTCCGTCACTTGGCTGCAGTCACATGGAGCGCAATATATCGTGTAAGATATAATTGTCCCTATTACAGTACAAAGATGTAAGATATAAAAGCTATTTCTTTGTACTGAAAAAAAGTAATTATAAGTGGCGATGTTTTTGGCGATTTTTTTTAAACACAGTGGCAGAATTGACAAATTTTAAACCTTCAGATGGCGAGAGAGGCTCAAGGTGACTTTAGATAAAGTCTGAAAGTTTGCAGACTGGCATTGAAGCTCATAAGAGTGAGAGAGAGGGTATATGTGGTCACGTGATGAATCTCTCTCTCACTCTTATGAGCTTCAGTTATCTTATTCAGTAGCGTTCATGTTAAGTATACCCGGCTCGCCCGTCAAGAACGCCAAGAGCAGTGTTGCCAGATGGGCGTAAGGGTGAGTTTAGATGGAGTCCGGGAGACTGGTTGGAAGCTCATAAGAGTGAGAGGGAGGGTATATGTGGTCACGTGATGAACCTCTCTCTCATTCTTATGAGCTTCCAGCCAGTCTCGCGGACTCCATCTAAACTCACCCTTACGCCCATCTGGCAACACTGCTCTTGGCGTTTTTGCAATCTATTACATTGATGGATGTGCACTGCGCATGGTTCAAAATTTTTCGAAGTCTTTTCCCTACATCTCTGCAGTGGTGCTCCTAACTATGTTTTATACATTATGGTACTTACTTAAACGTTTGAAACTCCGAGAGATTGCAATATATAGGCTTCTGAGTTATGATCNAGCAATATTATTTTAAATAATCGAAGAAAGCATGTACACATTACTTGTACTTAAACGAAACATTTTTTATAATAAGATTAGAAAAGAACTGTTATGGAGTATGACTTATTTCATATTTCATCATTAATTCTTTAATATATTTCAACAGTTATTATACTAAATAATAAGATTTTGTTAGAATAGTACTTAGTTTGCTAACACACTTAAAGGTG